TTCTCTTCTCGCTCCCTTTGCCCCCCCTGTTCACCATTGGATTGCCTTCCTCCCTCAGCAAACCCCAGATTTCTCTACAAGGCCTCACACTCCTGCCATTTGCAGGTTACAGGGCAACGCCCCAGCTCCGGCCAGCGTCGTTCTGGCATCGGCAAACCAGGGGCTCAGAACAGAGCAACTCTGTAGACACCAGTCCAGGTTCAACCATCTCTGAAATCCTATATCCCGATTGTGGAAGAAGTCTAGATGCTGCCAAAAATTTTAGAACACCAAAAAGCTTAATATAACATATTGAGATGATGATACTAATGATGATGATGATGATGATGATGATTATGATGATTTTATTTTATTTTATTTTTTTAACATGATTGAGACAATGATGATGATGATGATGATGATGATTAGTATGTAGAAAAAGTAGAAAACTATGCTTTATCAGCACTTCTGACCTCCTAATCCTAGAACACCTCCTAGCCCTCCCTGTACCAAGACATTACATCTCAGAGACAATACCCTCCTTACCAATGTCAACGGTAGCTGACCTGTTCTCGCCACCTAGATTATCCCTGACCCCATAGGTTGTCAAGGCAGCCCCCCCGGTTCGCCACTGGATTGCCTTCCTCCCTCAGCAAATCCCCAGATCTCTCTACAAGGCCGCACACTCCTGCCAATTGCAGATTACAGGGCAACGCCCCAGCTCGGCATCGGCAAAGCCAGGGGCCCGGAACAAGGCAACTCTGTAGATATCGGCCTAGATTCGACCATCTCTAAGATCCTATATCCCGAATGAGGAAGGAAGCCAGATGCCACCAAGAATTACCGAGCACCAGTAAGCATGATATAACATGGATGATGATAATGATGATGATGATTATGAATATGATTATAATGAGAAGATTCGAAAAATTTTCCCTGCCTTCCTCCATTCCCTCCATTCCCCTGTCTATCCCTTCACCCTAGTCTGCCCCCGCTGGGATTTAAAGCCCAACCCCATAATAGAGTATTCCTCACAATCTGCCCGTGCCCCCTCCAGGGTTTCACCCCCCTCCTAATGAAACCCCTGCAGAGCAGGGCTCTCCCCATCCCTTACCACAAATTCAACCTATTTTTATGAAATGTCAGATAAAATTACGAATGTAGGAAGGAACATTTATGTCTCTTCCATATAAGGAAAGAGTTAGTCAAATAGTCAAATAATTTATGACTAAGTTATTGATAGTAGGACTTGAGAGTAGATAAACGTGATTAAAAAAAAAAAAAAAACATTAATTAGAGATCTTCACCTGGAATTTTAGGTATATAAAAATACCATTTATGTTAGTTAGACAAGAAATTGAGGTTTCGAAGAGAAGAAAGATCAGGAGTGTTTGAGACTTTAGTTAAGATATTAGTTATAGAAAAGTAGTTAGGTTCGTAAATGGGATGATACTGAGATGATGAAATTAGTGGTCAATTTGATTATTAGAAGCACAATAACAAACTTACTTCAAAAATAATGAAAATGAAGATGATGATGATGATGATTATGATGATGACGACGGCGATAACAATGATGATAACGATGTCAATGAAGATCCAGCCTGTCCTCCTATAGCCACTTTACCTCAATGATGATGATGAAGATGATGGTGATGATGGTGATGATGATGATGATTACGACGGCGATGACAATGACGATAATGATGACAATAAAGATCCAACCTGTAGCGGACCTCGGGTTGGCCTGTGAGACCAGCCCCTTGGCCTGTTCTCACAGCCCTGTGTTGTATTCGGGGTAGGTCAGTCCAGGCCGGTACCTCTGTCGGTACCAGCCAGTCCAGTCCATTTCTGTCAGTCCGCTGGGGTATACCCCAGCCATTGTCTGTTTTCAGTCTCATTCTAGTACGTGCGTTGGAGTCTTGCGTGGGGAGCTGCGTTGTGCCATCTCGCTCCCCCCCCCTTCTTCCTCCATATCCATCTCTGTGTCACTAGCGGAGCACCACACCTGGTGGGTCCGCTACATTGGTATCGGAGCGGGAACGGTCCCCGCCCCCACCCACCACACCGCACAGCAGGGAAATACGGCAAAACCCGACAGTCGGGTTTTTGGCTGCTTTCCGAACGTTTTCGGCCGAAAAAGTGGGAAAAAACAACGAAGAAAGGTGTTGCATCACGACGCGTGCGCTCCACGTGGCGAAAAAGGAAGCTGCATCACGACACGTGCGCGCGAGCGCCAAGGCCAAGGCATGTGCGCGCGCGCCCATGTTGCCCCGCTGCCCCGCTCCGCTCCCGAATTTTATATTATCAAAATCCGAGATCCAACTGCTGCCACTAAGGTTTGAACCCAGGCATCTGCTGAGCCATGCACGTGCGTAAGCAACCTCATAACACACTCGCCACAGTGTGTCCATGGCTTTGAAGCACAGCACACTCGTGTTGAAGAGGTCCCGTGCTGGCTATTTACCCTCCCCCCAGCAGCGAAGTTGCTATTTACCCCCCCCCCCCCCCCCTTTGCGGCTGCTGCTGCCTGTGCACGTGGCCATCTCCACGGCCACGTGGCAGCCTGTGGTGGGACTGAAGACCACCCTGCTTAGGGGGCTGCTCTACAGTGGAGAGGGTCTGCTCACACAACAGACCCTACATCTGGACATCTGCAGAAGTGTTGCTGGGGGCTGATCAAGATCTCAGCCCCCTCCCTCTCTCCTCCAACTGGCTGCTGCAGCAAAGACCAAGACCCTCCTGGTCTTGGTGTACCTTGTGCCCTTGGAGACACCAAGGGCCAGGTATCACTCCCTTCTCCCCTCTCCCTCTACTAACCCACTCTCCTCTTACTCACCCCTTCTCTTTCCCCCACCTTCCACTGCATCTTTTCTCTCCTCCTTTCATCTTCCTCACCCCACCTTTCTCCCACCACCCATTCTTTTACTCTATTTTTTTCATCTCTTCTTTTCTTTCCTTCTTTCTCCTTCTTTCTTGATCCCTGTCCACCTTTCCCCATCCCTCCTCTCCCCCAACTACCT